TTTTCACCTATTGTACAAACTTTAAACCCCTGTGTACAAAAAGGTATGTGCCGGCCAATGGTCGAGGGAAATAGTGTAAAGATTTCTTTCTACCGTTTTTAGTTTGGCTCTACTTTTTCACCATAAACCGGGCGCTATACGAAACTTTTTGAAAATGCCGCTATTTTTTCGAGGTTTTTTTATGGTACCCAGGCCGTTCGCGGCAGCGCGAGCCATGAGATCTCGCACATGCGCAGACGTTATTCAGCCCTGTTCGTCACGCAACGTTACTTGAGGCGTTGCGTGACAGAGAGAGGGCCTGAACAGGACGAAACGAATCAATGTTACCACTCTTTTTAGTTGATCGCTTGAAGTGCTTATAAAAACTCAAAAACCAATCCGGTGTCTCTTTTTGAATTAATTCATGTCAGAATGCAGTTAGCATGTCAAAATAATCTTTTTGCCGATTCAGAGTTACTTTTATTTGTCATAAATTTTAGGTGGCTCTAAGACTGCTCCCATAGTATTGATTTTGCCTTCACTACACAACCGAACACACTCAAAGGTTATGAGGTATGGATGCATTGGTCAGCCAAGCCCAGGATGTGCTAAAGTAGATAAAAGATACATCAATGAACATCCTACATATTAGGATGCGTCGTAAAGCCACGCACGTAAACCTCAAAAACCGCAGATTAGGAAAAATAGGGAGTATGTACTCGACCAAATGCGCTCCGGTGCCACCTTTGGGGTTTTAAGGTTATTATATAAACAACAGAATGAAAGATGAATTAGGTAACACTATTTACTCAACACCAGAACACAAAAAAAGAACCTTATCTGAAGTTAAAACAGGGGACACCGACGGTGCGCCGTGTCCTAACGGATTGGGACCCCCATGCCAGTTCAAACGCGAGGTGTAAATCTTCAAGCGAATTTGAATACCTCTTTACGACTTTGGACCTCTACACCGAGTAAAACGTGCGGTTTTATGAAACGGGTTCAAATTTAACAGACGTCTCAACTTCAAATTTGTGGCAAAGTATATTTACGCTTTACAGCATGCGCCTCAGAGACACATTATTGCTAGTATCCCATCGCAATCGTTTAAAAACGAGAATCAAGTACACGTTTTTAGCGTTTTCACAAGTCGTCATATCAGCCATAGTCGTGTTCCCGAACAGTAAAATTTGTGTCCTTTGGGAAATAGGTTTATCTTTATGTATAACTTTCCTAATTCTGATCATACTAACACGACACATTTAAAAGTTTATTGACGATACGTCGATCAGTCTTCTAGCTAACTCCCGGCGAGCTAGCCTCTCTATTGTGTAGTAATTTACTTTATTTCCTACTAAACTACAGAACTGTACTTAAATTTCCAGTAGCTTAATTTGGGAACACCAATATGGCTGCCATGGAAACGTTCTATAGTGCTTCGATGACGGTGCATCATTTTGGAAGACTTCAGAAGCTCTGGGGTAATGAGTTCGGCAGTTTAGAAGTCCACACCCCTATCGAAAGACAGGGCGTGGCTAAGCGGATGTTCGGGTTCGGCAAGGGAGCTGGAAGTCTTGTTAAATTTCCGAATTGCGTTATCTCGAGTTGGGTCAAGTGTCCAAAACCTTTTAAAGACTAGTTTATTTATTTGCGTGCATGATGAACGAATGCGCACGCGGCTGTTCACACGTACGATAACGTAACGATGACGTAACGTAACCAAATTCACAATTGGCCAATCAGAGGCCTTGAGTAGGTGTCATGATTTCCTGCGATATCAAGACACTGACCTGATATCGCCAGATTTTTGGCCGAATTTGGGTACAAAAAAATATCTTATCGTACCTTTTTCGGTACGCTTATGCGGCATGTCATACCAAAGAGATACGACAAAATGTCAGGAGAAGTCACGTACACAGACCAATGTAGTGCCTTAATGTTTGATCCAAATTGCACTTATGCTTGCGCTTGCAGTGTGCTTTTCGTATAAGCCGCCGAGTGGCTCGACAAAGGATCGCGCGTGTTCGAGTTACTCCTGTTTACAGAGGCCGCGATGCAACGACAAAATCACAAACCCACGTTCAAGAGAAAGGAAAGATTTCTTTTCATGTGCTTGCGATAATCTAGTCTAGAACCACTTGTACCCGTAAACGCAAACCAGACTTAATTAAAGGAAAAAGAAGCAGAACACAAACAAATAAATCAAGCAACTCAGCGAAAAATGAATTATTTACTAACGTAAAACAAACTAAAAGAGTGTGACTAAAAAAGGTAAAAAAATGTTTATGCTCTCAGACGAAGTATTCTTCTCATTACAGGGAAGTTTTTGTCTTCTGTTTTATAAATATTGTCTTGTATATAAATTTGAAGCAATTGTCATAATATATTATACCTATCTCAGAACTCTTTAAAGTAATATATCTTTGCATTCTTCACGTCTGATAAAATACAAGACCTCGTTCTGTACAAGTTTAAAAAATCTTTTCCTATGTACAAACTATTTACTATTGCTACATACAAGAAGCTGTATCTACAGCAGTATTGAAACATTAAAATACTAAAATTGATAAACTAATTGAAATTCATTCTTGCGAAATTGTCTCGTCTCATGTTTTTTTAAACACGAAAATCACTGTTTCTAAAATTACACTTTTTCTGTTGATCGGAAAGCTATAAACACAAGCAATGCCGCGGAAATTGGCTGCGAATAGCCATCTGTTCAAGTGCACACGAGGAAGCGGAGTCGTGTTTTAATGACATGCGTAGTGCCTATGTTCGACTCAGTCCCCCAAGGAGGTGTTGCGTTCTTCCTTTTTCAAACGACACACGTCTTCCAGAGTCCAGACCACTGTCAGTTTCCTAGGGAATAAGAGGGAAAAAAATTCACGTATGAAGCTAAACAAAAGTGAAGTCTGAGGTTACCTTGTGAAAAAGATGATAAACTGCAAAATTATTTTTATAAAATTTCATAGCAGGCTCAAGCAAATTTGAAAATTTCAAGATTGTCAGAGGTCTGTTGACTTATTATTGTATTTCATTAGCCATTCTGTCATTTCTCTAGTGCTGTTCTACAAAATCACATCGTTATTGTTGGTTGATCTACGATTCTTTGCTTCTAAAACTGGTACCAAATGACAATCGACAGTCTTCCAATAAGCTGCACGTTCTTTATCTACTGCTGCTTACACTTCTAAATTTCCATGATCACAATGATCACGAGGAACACCGCTTCTTTAACCTCAAAAACTTGCACATCAATTAGTTTTCAACTACTGTTAGAACAAGTAAAAAAACTATAATTTTCTTTTAAACGTTCGTAACGTACCCCGTTTGCATATTCGTCAAGAAAGCTTCCTGGAACAAGTCCCAACTGACCATTCACGTCCGCATGATAGAAACCATCTGCACGCTGAAAGAGAGGGAACAATTCTGGATTACCGTCAAATGACGTCATAAGTATTCTTACAGAATATGGTTATCTTTTTGAAGACACAAGCTTTTGCAACCCTGCAAAGAACCAACTAAATTACACGCGACTACACTAACACGCGACCAATCGATTACTAGCCATAGGGCAAACAGTCTATATAATCTAAAAACAAGGAAAAGGAAATTCCTGCGTCATCAATGTATGTACTACATTTCTATTCGATAAGATGCAGTCTTATCCATGTTTAGAGCAAAAAATGCTTGCTTTGCTCTTGGAATATATCGCTAGAACATAGATAGTTGATGCTTAAGCAAGAGAGCACTTTTTCCGTGTTTGCATAGCCTCGTCTAAACACGAGGGCGGTTCGGAGAACTCGAGAAAGTTATGCAAACTTGAGACGTTAGTCGCGGGTTTACATAACTTTCGAGAATTCCTCCAAAACCCAAGTGTTCAGGCTGTTGGTTTTATAACGTTTTCCTCAAGAATACGCGCCAGTCTAAAACGCCATAACGGTGTTTTAATATTCTCGACTAAACACACCTATCAACCTATGAGCGCGCGTTGTATCTGTCATTTTCTATATTACCGTCACTTACTAAAGTAATTCAAGAGGTACTCGTAGGTCTCTATGTTCAAGTTCACTTCCGCAACAAGAAAGAGAACCACACGAGCATTTTCTCGACTCAGCATCCTTTACTGGTAACACGTTCAAGTTTTACAAAGAAGCGCACTTGACTGTAACCAGACTTACCATTTCCCCAACAACAGTAAGGATTTGTCCTTTCTTGAATGGAAGCTCGGAATCTGGGTTATCTTGCGGAGATTGCACCTCTGGATTGTAATCGTACAGCGCAACCATCATCTGATCAGAGAAGAAAAAAGAGGTTTAAAATATATAAATTACAATATTAAGAGAGGAAGCCACATCAACCCTAGCTGGTTTTCATGCGGGTCTTCTATCCTGGTCGAATTGGAATTCGGATATGTTGGTTTTTGCAGAGGGAGGAAAACCAGAGAACCCGGAGAAAAACCCTCGGAGCAAGGCGAGAACCAACAACAAACTCAACCCACATATGGCACCGGACCGGAATCGAACCCGGGCCACGTTGGCAGAAGGCGAGCGCTCTCACAACTGCGCCATCCCTGCTCCCCTAAGTCTTTTCTGTGGTGCCTCACCAATATCTGCCTAACATGACCAATAACAGAAGGAAGAAAAACAAAAAACAAAACAAAAAAAAAAAACAGAACTCGGCGAAGAAAGCAGTAACTGGTGACAAGTTAGAGAAAGTCACGTCCAGTTCTTGACTAAAACCTGACTGGCTGACAAGAAACGAGACAGTAACTGGCCTCGATTGTTGGACAGATTGCAGGGTTTAGTAACAAAATGTGATGTATGGAGCACAGCAAATGTAAGTTTATGTTGCTTGAAGTAAAGGGGAAAAGAAACTACGTTTTTACAGAGAAGAAACAAATACAGAAGCAGTTAATTCCAAATTCTATTGATTCTTTTCACACACGCTCGCATCACGACTGGTTCTGTACGATTTCAATGTACACAAACTGAGGGAGGAGGAGAAAGCGAAACTTTGACGCGAAATACCAACGCTATTGTGGCCTCTGTCCCTCTGGCGCAATACAGTGGAAGCTAAGTTCTCCTACCTTTTTTTTCAGTTGTGTTGGATTCGTAGTTGCGAGTGCTGGTAAAGCACCGCCGCCATTGGAACTACTACTGCCCGCTGAGAAGGGCCGCGTGGGACTAGGAAGGGCTGCTTGTCTCTTCTAGATATGATTGAAAAGACAGGTTAGAGGTAAAATAAGTTCTGGAAAAGTGTTGTCGAGCGTGCGTTCCGTACTCTAATCTTTTCCATTTTGACGTGCCTCACATTCCGATCAAGTTGAGTTCTCAAGACCAGCAAAAACCTTGTGGGAATAATACAACTGATAAAAAATGTGGACACTGTCTTATTTCACTATCAAAATCTTCAAACTAGTGTTCTAAGAAATGTAAAGTGGAGTAAATTGAGGAGGAGATGAATGGTGATACTCTTTTTTCCCTTGAATTACTAGTCTGATGACGACAACACGACTTAGTACAAACGTTTGCAACAGAGCTAAAAGAAGGAAAAACCCGGCTGAAGCATCGTCTCCATTTGTCACGAGACGAACCAAATAACGGCTGTGAAGGAGACCAAACTGTAACAGGGTCATGAAAGTGATTTACCTTAGCAGCAGCCAATCTACGCGGCGAAGCCACAGCTACTTCTTCTACAAAGTTGGATGGAATGAGTCCTTTCTTGTTCTTAAGCTGTTGAGGCGAGAAGAGGTTTTTACAACAACAAACAAAGAGACAACAGACAACAACAGAGCATGAGGTGTTTTCGACCAATCTTTGTTGAAATAACCACGACGCTTGTCACGTTTTGACGCTTACACACAATAAGAGAGAACTGCCAGAAAGGCATCGTAGCATGACACCTGGGTAATATAGAGGGCGTTACATTAACACTACCTTTCCGACGTAGAACCCGTCCTTTCTTGAAGTATCGGAAATTCTTAGAATGTCTCCTTCTTTGAAGCCGAGTTCGCTGGCTGGATTGGGATTTGGTGAACTTTTGAACGGATCGTAGTCGTAAAGGGCCACAAACTGGTAAGAAGAGAAAACACAAGAATAATATCAAAATAAAATTCCTCCTTACAAAATCAGGTCACTGTCAAGTATACAGGTGAGAAGAATAAAGAAAACTATCAAGCTGAAGAATTCTTCTTGACCTATCACTAAATTCTCAAAAGCGATATTAAAGAAATCTAGGGTGATCACTGAGGAGAATTCACATTTCAATTTTACAACTGAAGGGATCGCCAAGAGTACCATTTAGACCATTTCGAGACTACGGTCGAGATAGACCTGAACTGTTTGTGTGGGGGTAAAAGACAACGTTCCCCCCCCAAAAAAAGAACAAACAAACAAATAAATGAACAAGCAAACAAACAAACAAACAACAACAAAACNCCCCCCCCCCCCCAAAAAAAAAGAACAAACAAACAAATAAATGAACAAGCAAACAAACAAACAAACAACAACAAAACGACCATTCGTCATTAATTGTGTGATTGCCGTCAAGTGTTAGAATTGTTATTCAGCAGGCTTCAAGCCAGGCTGACAAAAAGCTCTCTGTAGTAGGAGTCCCAATAGAGAGTAACATTAGAAATAGCAAAGAAACAAACCAATCTTACCGTTCTGTAACGTTGCTCATCTCCCGAATCCTAGAAAAAAAGAAGAAAAAAAGTTCAGAAACAAAAAGTTATTTTTATAAGCGAATTCTACATCTCAAACGTTTGCCTAAAAGAAAAAAAAAATAATAGAAGAAACAAGAATCAAGAAAGCTTACCTCGAAAGATTCTCCAAATGAATCCTGCAAAACAAGAAAACGTTAATAAGTATATCTTCTGGATTTTGATCTGATTGATTGCCTATACTACTTATACAACGATTTCGAGTGGTATACCATGGAATATCCCACGAGAGAGCGTTACATAACTATTTTATACCACGCCATAGAAAATACAGTGGCGCACACAACCAATGGGACATACGCGCGGCGCATGATGGGAAGGTTGGATAAAATACCGTCCAATATACAACGGTATTCCTGTATTCTGATTGGCTGTATTTTCTATATCATGGTACACAGGGTTAAACTTAACGTCTCATTATTTTCTTACCATTAAAGTTCCTTTGATTGTGTCATTAAACGTAGCTGACACGGTCTCAGACGAGGCGCCATCTTCAGCCACAGTCTTTATACTGAATTTGATAGGGAAACGGAGTTCAAGATCTTCGACCAAAGCCTAAAAAAACAACAACATGAGAACAAGGCGGTTTTAACGAGCGATATATAGTGTCAACAAAAAAGTTCAACGTGCCTTAGCGTTTAAAATATACTCTAGAGTAATGATATCATGTGAAGAGTAAACCCTTAAGAAAAATGTCTAAATTCGATCTTGGTTATTTTTATCGACTTTGTCAGGTAGATTGATTAATGTTCATAAATTTCAAAACTTGCTCGACTTTGGGATGTTCTTACAAGTCGAACGATCTATTTCGCCGAGCAAAACTCGACATTTGAAACCTCTTTAGTAACTCCGGAAAGAAAAGACTCCTTAGAAGTAAAAATCATTTCCGTTTGTAACAACTACTTCTATAGTTCTATAAACAAGGTACCGTAACTTTCTGACAGTAAAACCCCGCTTGATAGAAGCCCCAATCTCAGACAAAAAAATATCCCATAAAGGGCTCCCCCCTACGAAATGGCGCGTCGATTACCCTATCGAATAGCTTGTCTTCGAGAGAAAAAAAAAAACACTTTCACAGTGTGATTCGAGGCTAAAAATACATTTAAAAAGATCATCATGGGGCACGGGGATGTGTTCTCTTCGATCATCTTCTCTCGCTTGTCTTGTATTTGTTACTGTGTGATCAAACACTTAAGAACCTAGACGTTTCCTCTCACAAAATAACTGCCAGATATCAACCCCAAAGCCTTTTTTACAGGCAAGATAACTTTGAATAATGAGCTCCTCCTCACAAAAATTGGGTTAGGGGGTATCCAAGAAAATACGCTAACTAATAAAAAGAGTTGTATGATTATGAGTAAACTCAGGGTTTTATAATTGGAAAGTTACGAAATTACTTATATTTTCAAGTTTTCTCGTGAGTTCTACCTTGGCCATGTAAGGGCTACGAACTTCCAGTTTCACATCATTATTTGCATAGATCTGCAAGATAAACAAAAGGGTAACTGTTATAAACAGAAATTATGCTAACTGGGAAGTCACACTTTTAGGTTTCGCTAAACACTATACTTGCCTTGTATCCTTTCACAGTAAGACCGTTGCTTCTTCCAAACTCGTCCATTTCAGGTAGTGTCCAACCCACCAACATGGCATCGTGGTTTACAGGCCGAATAATTCGAAAGCCACTTGGGGCACTGGGACGAGCTATGAAAAGGCAAGGACAAAACGGACATTTAAAAAAATGCACGAGCCCGCTCTCATGATCGCGTCGACAATACGGCGCGCGGTAATCTGATATTTTATTTTTCTTTGACTTGAACAATGGTAGTACGGCCATACCGGTGACCAAGCTGTCCTCAATGTTAGCCACAGATTGTCTAATCACAATACAACGGGCTAAGCGCCACGTACTCAAATGAACTCCTAACTAATACGAAAACACCAATAACTTTAACGGTTACCTTTCCTGGAACGTGATTTGTTTGAAACAACAGGAACGATCTGTTTCGAACCCGAGGGCCGTAAAGATGCCTTCACTGGTTTGTGTGAATCCAAGGGCGCAGACTGGGACGAGTTTACCGGTATCACCGGTGTATTATTTAAAGGACCCAACATCGCCACTTCCGGTGATGGTTTGAATCTTGTTAATCCCACATCAGGCAGAGAGCTGTTTAGACCGCCCGTAGGACGCACGGGACCTGACGGCGTTCTAACATCGCCGGGAAGGCGCACGTGACTTGATGGTGTATTAAGGTCTCTGGGAAGGCGCACGTGATTTGTTGGTGCGCCGGGATGGCCAGGAAGATGAATGTGACTTGCTGGCGAGCTGGGGTGGCCGGGAAAGCGCACGTGACTTGGTGGGGTAACATTTTCTAGCGCATGAGTCGGCGTCGGGTAGCCATTAGTAATAACACCAGGTGGAGTGAACATATGAGTTGACGAAGCTAAGGAAATAAGAGCGTTTATGCGGTATTAAGACATTTTAGTGCATTTTATGCCTACAGTCTAACTTTTCATTCTTCGCTATAAAGGGGCAAGAGAGGGCTTTGTAGTTGATTTCTTTCGTCTCTCCAAACGACAAAGGTGAAAACAAGAGTTTCCCTTCGGTTGATCTATTGGACAGATTGGTTTTAAAGATCACAGTTGAGGAGCGTGTCCTACTCCATCGGCGCGTGTCTTCAGTCCAGTTCCCAGGGCTTATCCCTTAGAACTTGAAGCCCTGGGAACGCGGTTAGCGTGTCTTGCGTTCAGCTCGCGCGCAAAGTCGTACCTGCTGCAAATAAACCTGGCACTAGCATCTCACCTCTCAGTTGTCCACGTGCTTGAATGTTGTCCAGCATTCCTAAAATCTGTTCTGGAGCTCGGCTGCTGGTCTGATTAAACGATAACAACAATAGAAAATCAGTAAGGCGGAGAATTCAATTGCCTGGACTTTCCCTTTGAATACCAAACTTTCGCCAAAAAATACCGTTTTTAACCGTTTAGTCAGGTTTTTTAGCTGCCATGACACTAAATACGCCTAAGTTTTGCTAAAAAAGCTTTTTTTTACTAAAAGGAGAGATTTTTCGAGGATTAGGTACAAAATTGAGCAAAACTTCAATTCCGGGCATGCGCGTAAGCCAATTTTTTTTGCCATTAACCGTTCTCAATTTCGTTTGTTGGCCCTTTCCTTTCTGTTTTTCTCGGCCCTTTTACACTGGCTACCTTTTGCATTGTATGTTCTTTCTGGCTGTAGTGAAGAGTTGGATGTTAATTACAGGCGAAGCCTAGAAATGGACCTTGATCAATCATAGGCGTTGTGGACCATTTTACCACCGTTTTTGCACCAAAAATGATAACGTTGTTTTTCGATTTGCGACGTCGGAATGTCGTCGATATCTAAACCTGACCATTGTGCGGAAAGGGCTAGCCTAGCACTACTATCTACTTATCAAGAATATCTGATGACATTCAAATTGATGACGTCACAAGTGGTACAAAGAGCACGACCATTTATTACGCATATATGCGTAGTTGGTATTCAAAGGGTTAAGAAAGAAGTGGACTGGACTTACAGGTTGCAGGAAGGACGATGACGAAACTTCCTCCACCAAGTGGCCAGGAACAAAACCTGTTTGACCTGAAAGAACGAGTTAAATGTATTAGTAAACCTCTCAAAAAAGGAGTACAGAATGTGTTACAGAAAAGTGACAGAGAAAGCACTTTACCAAACTGAAGTACTGAACACAACTATCCACAGGAATATGTCCATGAAACTCGACAATAATCCAAAGTTGGCTGATATACATTCGATTTCATAGCTAAGCAAAAATTAAGTGATTAGTGACGTTATTCTTAAGAAGTATATGCTTCACTTTGTATCAATTTTATAAGGAGAAATAAGGTTTTGATCACTGATGGAAACAGGACGTACTCACCATTCATATCAACGCGATAAAACCCATTCACATCCATGTCTCCATAGGCTGTCATAATGTCACCTTTCTTGAGTGACAGCTGATCTTGAGGTGGTCGTCCAAAAGCCCCAGAATGGAAAGGATCGTAATCGTGTAGGGCCACCATGCACTGACGTGCTTCAGACCCTGCAGAAGAGGCGCCTGATGACGGCGTACAATGGCCACTAGACTTGTCATCTCTGTACAACTGTCAAACGAAAAAAAGACATGTATTAGTATGGTTTCTCAGTTGAATAATCCTCACGACAAATTACACTTAAATTTCAAAATCATTTCATAGTCATTCAAAGCGCCAAGTCTTCAAAGGAGTTTATTGTTCAGCTATTGTATGGTTGAACAAAGAACTGTATGCATAATTATGTATGGTGGGCTTATACCGGGGGAAATTTTGCCGAAGTATTCACTTCAGTGTCGGTGAAATTGGTGGATAGGTATCCCATTTCGGTAAATAACTTTTGTCTGAAAATTTAATGACCTAGCAACATAACTAACACGCGCCGTCTGTAACTATGGAAAAAGCCATTGTTCCAACATACGTTTTTTTTAAGATAAGGAAGTTACTACGTAAATGGACACCGAAAAAGTTAAAGGTGTCATCAATTGTACACAGGAGAAAAAGTGGTTGCGCCAACTCAAACATTTCTCTGAAAGAGGTTTTGTGTTCTTTTAGCTGGGCGTCTCTGCTGCTTCATAGATGGCAGTTGTCGAGACTTCGCTCATTCACCGGAGTACAATACTGCGATTTATATCAGGCTTGTGCGTCATATTTGTTGTTTTTATAGTGTGCTTTGACATCGAAGTTCTGAACTCTTGGAGCACATCGCGTCGCATTACGAGTGATACTAAAGAGTAAGTTCATTCATTCACTGTAAGATATTAATGTTGTTGACTGCAATTGGGAGATGATTCCGAAAGTAGCCGCAATATCTAAACTTTTCATCAAGTGGAAGAGAATATTTTTGAAATCTGGCACAAAAATACTTACCACAAAACACTGCCTCGGATATCCCTACACAAGGGCCCTTCGGTTAGATGAAATCTTCTTAGACTTCTACTTTTATCTATAAACATTTTCCTCTCAATTAATCACCTAGTCCTCTTTCCTCCTTCATAAATATCTTTAGTCATCGAAGAAATCTTAACAGTAATAGAGACCCTCAGGATGCCCTCGACAGTAGTTTTAATTTGCATGAAAACTCAAAGAGAGAACACCGCGTGAATAAGGGTAAAATTTACGGAAAACACGTAACATGTAAAAAAACTAATCTCAGGCTGATGATTGCAGAATCACTTTCATTCGATTTTTCATCTATTGGATTCTCCTTTGATAACGCCTCTCTGGTTTATAAGAAAAAAACATTCTATTAGATAATTTGCCGAGTGTTTTGACTGAACAAAATACGAGTTGGCCGTGGCGATTCATTGAAAGTTTATTTTGTTTTTAAAAATTGTGCGTTTCTACGCTTTTATACAACAAAGCAATAGTATACATTTACAAAGAACCAGATGTCAGTGAACTCAACTAACCCATTTCGACAAAAAGATTAATTTAAGAGTTATTACATTTTGCGTTATAACATTATGTGTCAAAAAATTGATTGCAATTTGCGTCAAAACGTTATTACAATTTGAGATGTATTGAACAATTGATACACCACAACACAAGCAAACAGCAAGAAACCAAGTATTCTTCCGCTCTATAGTCTGTTATAAAGAACATTTAAAATGTTTTTATCAAAACAACAACAACAACAACAACATAAACGTGCACGTGACGTATTATTTTAATATGGATTTGATAGTGTTACGGGATCAAAAGTTTTGGAACAATATAATTTTGTTTCTACAGGACAAAAGCCGGAGCTGAAAGAACTACAAGTGGATCGAATGAAAGACTAGAAACGTTTCAGCGTCAGTGCACTCCAATACAACATGTGCTCTACCTTAGGACACACAAAACCGCCTCAAGTACTTTAGCTAACATTTTTTTCCGTTATGGCGACTTTCGTAACCTATCATTTGTTCTTGGCAGACATCCCAATATAGGTTGGCCTGAACGTTTCCACCTCTCGCACGCCCTGCCTTTTGATGGCACCCGACCGAATTTTCTGTGCGCGCACACGAGGTACAATAAAGAACCAATGAATTATCTTTTCCCGAGAGAAACCAGTAAGTACATCACTACCATTCGAAACCCTGTTGAGCAGTTCGAGTCGCTCTTTAACTACGTAGGATTTGGAAAAGTTTATGGTTTCGGTCAAGACCCGACAGAGTCTTTGAAGGGATTTCTTAAGAAAGGAATAGAATTCAAACATATGTTTAAACTTCCATATGTCGTTTGACCTGGGTTTGGACTACAGGTTTTACCAGAATGTCACTGCTATCAAGGAGTATATCGCGTTTCTGGAGAAAGAATTTGATTTAGTGATGATTTCTGATTACTTTGACGAGTCTGTTGTGCTTATGAAGCGCTTGTTTTGCTGGGAATTTGACGATATCCTGTACATTAAAGCTAATGAACGAATTGACAAAGAAAGAGCCGTGCACTTGAGCGAAGACATCAGAGAGAATATCAAAAGATGGAACAAAGCTGACGTATTCCTGTACCAGCACTTTACCCAAACATTTTGGCGCAAAATACAAATGGAAGGAGAAGACTTTTACAGTGATCTTGCAACTTTTCGACACAAGAAAACGGAAATGACACATTTGTGTTTCACCAATGTTACAAGTAATCAATTATATTTCCCACATAAATATGTGAAAGTATCACATTTAAAGCAGAACTTGTCGGGAGAAACAAAGTGAAATGTGAAAGAATGACGAAATTTGAATTACCATATATTCAGTATTTAAGAGAGAAACAACAGTTAAAATTAAAAGGAATTTTTCGTGCGGAACCAGAGAAAGATGATCAAAGAAAACTTAGTTGGGACGTGGCAAGCGAGCTAAGATACGCTCCTGTTTAAAACAACTGAAAAAAACATTGCAGCAGTTAACCTCACTCAAACATGGGATGAAGCAAAGTACAATGAAGATGTAATGAAATCTCTACCAAAAGGTAGCGAAGTAGAAAAAGGGAAAATGGAAGCAAGAACTAAATTAAAAAGTCAAATTTCAAGGCAGATCAGTGATGGCTGTGTGGGAAGTAAAGGAGGAAGCAGAGGGAAGGGAGGATAAGTTTGACGTTTTATATTTTTCCTTTCTAGTCAGCAGCCCCGCTTCCTCAGTCTCAGGCTGTTTTCAGAATGTCAACGTAGTGTGTTTACGGATTGATTTCAGCGCATGTCAGATTTGTAGTAGGGAACTAAATGTAACTGACTTCTAGAATAACTTGTTTACAAGTTTGTTTTCTTCTTAGAAAATTTTTACCTCAAAAAGTAATTACAACTCTGTAAATAGCGCTCAACCCAAGTTTAAAACAGTGTGACCTCAAAGATCAATACAAATAAAGTAAACTTTCTTATCTTCAAACAAGTCCGTTTAAACCATCTGTGTTATTATCTCACCTGAAGCTCATTGTCCATGTGCGAAGGAACATCTTTCAGTGGGTCCGAAACAGTAAGAACATCTTTCAATGGGTCTCTGCGTGACCTTGATAAATGCTCCTCGAGAGCAAGCTCCGAGTCATTATCGTCCTCTACCTCCTCCACATACAGACTAGGTACCAGGCCTCGTGCGCCATTCGCGTCCGCTTCAAAGTAACCATTGATGTCCATGTCGCCGAACACTGTAAGGAAGTCACCTTCCTTGAGTTTGAGCTCTAGTTCGGGGTGCTCACAGGCAGGCGACTTGTAAGGGTCGTAATCAAACAACGCCACAAAGCGCTTGGCCTTTTTCGTCCCAGGAGGTGAAGGTTCAAACGTCTTTAAAGCGAGAGGAAAAACTGTAAGAAAACTATTCGCAGCTTACCAGTAAATAAGTGAATTCCATTGCAACTTACTTTGGGTGAACGACTTGGAGATTGTTTTTCTAGCCTGCTTTGTAATCTTTCTTCCACCAAGTCCTAAAGTAAGAAAAATCAGCGGCAAACAAGTTAATTCTATCCAGGAAAACTGACAGCTAAACCTATGGATCAGGACAAAGGTCGAAAGTAAACAAATGTTACTTGGTTTTGCATTTGTTAAGCTCCAAGAGTGGTTAAAAACTCTTGCAACTTGCCCTGGCCAATCAAATTCATGCTAAGCGTGAAACGTTACTACCAAGGCAAATCAACACATCGAGTAGACCACATTCGTAGTTTCGGTAGTGGACTGGAACTAGCTTGCAATGGAGGCTCATGTGAAGGAGTATCATTACAAAGAGATTTATGTCATTTGCATTTGAAAAGACTCCCCCCCTAAGCCTCAGTTGCAAGCTAGTTCCAGTTCACTTCAAATAATACAAAAAATGGTCTATTGTCATATTTGACCAACCTCGGGTTCTCGTTTTGCTATCTTTCGCTCTTGCTCTCTCTGAGCCGACAATTTTACGAAGTTCTCCGGCGAGTATCCGTAGCTTCGGATCTTAGACATATCGTCGAGAGCCGATGTTGCGATGGAATGACGTAATTCTCGGATTTCCTCGCTCAGTTTATCCACTAGTTCGCCCTTCTCTTTGCACGCTCTTTTGAGCAACGATATCTTGGCCTGAAATAAACAAGGAAAGGAAGGTAAGGGCATTTCAAATGGTTAATTCATGGTTAAAACCAACAAAGCAGACAGACAGACAGACAGACTAGTCACTATCTGCGTGTCTGTATCTGTAAGCTAACTGTCTGTCAGTCAGTCAGCCCGTACGTTCGTCCATCTGCCAGTCGGTCGGTCGGTCTATCGGTCAGGAAGTCAGGAAGGCAGGCAGGCAGGCAGACAGACAGACAGACAGATAGACAGAGGTGGACACACTAGTTACCTTTAGAGTTGGTATTTGCATCTCTGCATCATCTTTTTGTCGCGTGGATTCCGCAAGCTGTGGGTAAAGAATAAATGTAATGAAGGAATAGATATAGCTTGCGTTTTCCCTCAACTCGGACGACTAACAATCCACTTTACTTCGCTAGCAGACGCCGCTGATATTTTTTAACCTGCGCATGTCTCCTTATTTGCCCTTTGGTGCTGCGTGAAACTCTCAAAAAGGCGTTACCTGTCTCCAGAAATAATAACAAACCAAGTGTCCTGCGTTATGTTACTTGTAGACACTCCTACCTTAATTCTTAAAGAATGGAATCCATCTTCAAGTTTAACGTGATCCCTGAGTAGAAAATGAACATTATATTTAGCAGTGATTTTTACGGTGGTTTTTCTTATAACATTACCCATTGATCTGACGGTATTGGATATTACTAGTTGTAACAAATTCTTGTCAAACTTGCCGTGTTGGTACTAAAGTTAATTTTTTCCAGAACTGAGTCGGCTCTGAACTTTTGTTATCGAGTGTACGTCAGAAAGTTGAAGCATGATTGATAGGGTCAAGTCTGCATGCGAGCCAAGTGGCCCATCAGGCCGGAGCTTATCCCGGTTTCTGTAGCATGAAGCGACTAGGANGCTCGACCCGGAGACGAACGCACTAACCATGAGGCCACCGCGCCTCCCTAACATGATTGATAAGGGGCAAATATTCTTAAGTGAAAGGCATCTCATTTGCCTTACAACAAGCTACAATCGTGGAAAAACGTCCTTGGGACACAGATGTTATGCAACGAATTATCTGTGTCTTACAAATGCAGCTAGAGTCGAGAAAAGCACTGCTATCCACTTAAAAACGCGTTGCTGTTCTCCCTTCCCCACCTAATACAAAACTGAAGAAATTGCAGACACTAGGTTTTAACATTTTATGTGGGGTGGGGGAGAGGTTAGGCAGGTGAAGTTGTATTCGCGTCTGGCGTGTGTGCAAAAGCGCCAAAAGTTCAAATTAATCCCAAGACTTTTGTCCATGGTTGTAGACCTATATTTTAATATCGGTGCGAGCCCCTACCTATTAAGCTCCTGTAATTCGGCCACTTGGTTCTCTAGTGAGTTTCGTTCTTGTGTTGTTATAGCAAGTCGCTTCTGCATCTCATTCCTCTCTGCTTCCATCTTGTCGAGTTGCACTTGAAGGAAGTTTCGTTCATGTTGGCTGTCGTGCATCTTTGTCTGAGCAACTTTCAAGTCCTGTTCTAGTTCAGCCAACTAAGAGGACAATTACACTTAGAAAACACTCTGCAAGGAAGCACGCACTAGAAAAGCTGTACTTCTGTGACTCCATAGAAACGCAGAACTTACACAGGCTGTTAAGGTAACCGTCCGTCCGATGGCGCGCACAATAGAATTTACATTTTGATTATCAAAATAAACGAGTAACGCCCGGTCTACACTACGCAGGAGAAATTTGAAAACACAGCTTTATTTCTACGGTTAGGCCTACCGTCCACACTAATCCGTCACGAAAACGGAGCTTTTTGAAAACGCTCTTCAAGCCGGAGGAATTTGAAAACGCCGGCATTTCGTTTTCGCGTGGACGGAAAACATATTGAAAACGGAGCTTTTTGAAAACGATGACGTCACGATAATCATGTGATTTCCCTGACCGAACTTTCCTCAAACACAAATCCAAAATGACTAGTTATTGTTGCCGTTTCAAATTTCTCCGGCCTAGTGTGGCCTAAAACATCCGATGCTTTTCCAGGGTGAAACCACCGTTTTCAAATCTATCTGGAGTAGTGTGGAGGGGGCCTTAGTTCGTATTCTTTTTCTCGCAGTGTCCTCTAAAAGAAGTCCCCTGGGGACCATAAATAAAAGTCAGTCCTTTGAAAGAATTGCAAACATTTGCTCTGTTTTCTATCGAATCATCTAGAAATACTCGTGAAATCTTAAGCGAAGCATTTTTCGTTCTCCCACACTTCCACTTGCGTTTCAACAGCATGACAGAAATACGTGAATGTTCTCTATTTCTTAACTCAAATTGAAATCAAATCATTTCAGCTATAGATCTCAATTTGTAGTTTACGCGTCCCAGCAAACTACTGTACACCACAAATGGTTCGACGCCTTACCCTGGAATTCAAGGTGGTATTTGTCTTTTGTAAGATAGCGCATCTGTTTTCCAAGTCATCTCTTTGCATCTCCATCAATTTGTTGCTCCGTAGGAAGTCGTTCCTCTCGGATTCCACCACCCGGCCTTTCCTCAACAAATCATCTCTTTGGTTTTCTACGGTCTTCATTTTTTCCATCAAGGTGTTTCGATCTTGCTCTACAATGTCCATTTCTTGCACTTGAGCCTTCAAAACGAAGTCATAAGTAAATTTTAATTTCTGGTTCAAAGTATCATTCGTTGTGAGATAAATATGGTTCAAAAAACGTGACAAAAATACTTGTGGGTTTACGCCTTTCTGTTCTACCCAAGTAAGTTTTAATACCTGTAATAGTTGAATGTTGTGTTCTAGCTTCTGAAATTCCCTCTCTGTTCTTTCCAACTTCTTCACCTAGAACAAAAATCATTTTCAAAAGTTAAATTTTATTGTTTTAGTTTCCTGCTTATGGAAGGAATTTAGTCAGCAACTAATAACAAAATCTTTAATCAACCAAAAACGATTACAACAAAACAACTTAACGCAAAGAGAAAATTGATACGTTCTTTAAGTAGCTTTTCAATATACCTTTTCACTCAGCTCAAAGTTTTGTTTTTCCATTCCACTGTATTTGGTTTGTAACTCGGCCAGTTTAAGCTCGGCGCCTTGCAGGTTCTTTAGTTGGTTCTAAAAATAAAGAAGGGGGAAAATAGATAAATTTATGGATTGTTTTCACCTTACCCTGGCATTGTACCGAAAAATTACGTCAAGTTCCAAGTTTCACATCTAGATGACAACTTTACACGTTCAAAGGAGAAGCACCCTGGAAACGAGTTTGGAATTATGGAAAATTTTGGTTCGCCGAAGGGGATCTTAGGATGGCCTGAAGTTGATTGTTCCCAAGGTACAATTCGTTTATTATTTTCTTTCCCCAATTAGGGACTGGGATTGAATCTTGCCATTTTCGTTGTTCTCTTTACCTGTAGATTCATGTAGGCCGCTTCCATTCTTTGTCTCTGTCTTTCCNAAAAAAAAAAAAATATAAGACGAATCAAGTAACTATCGCAAAAGAAGACTTTACTCACTCCACTCAGTTAATAGACCACGTTCGATACATCAATATTCTAACATCGATCCGAGGCTTTCGCGTCAAAATTGCAAATTTTTTTAAATTTCCTTTGTCTTTCAATTCCCAAAAGAGACTTGGATACAAAGAAAACACCACCAAACATAGAAGTTTGTCCTGAAAGCTTCGGAGCCATGTTAGAATATTGATACATCGAACGTGGCCTATTCTCTAAGGACAGACAAGGCAAGTAATAAGTTTAGTCAGGATTTCATAGTGTTCTTTGAGGAAACACTGTAACGAGACTCAAAGCAAAATCAAACAATCACTTACTACGTCAAGAAACATCACATACCTCGTGATTCTTTTTATTCATTTCCCCAATCTACGAAATCAATAACAAAAAATAAAATAGAAAGCGTCGAGACCGTTTAACATATTTCACAGAAAATAGAAAAAGAACTTTAACTAAGAAACATATAAAACTCAGCCAATCCCCTTAACATTTCGGAAAGAAGAAAAACAAAACGTGAGTTTAACTGGTGTATTTTTTTTCTGTTACCTTCGTTAGCAACTCTCTTTCTTTCTTTTGATTCTGTTAAAAATAATAAATGATTAATAATACTGTCCAACCAAAACTGTTTAAGTACCAGATAAATTATTTACAATGCGACAAATGCAAGCACAGAAACATTCATGTTTAATACCATCTGGCACAGAATTACTGTTTACCTCTTGTTTTAAGAACGCTACATCTTCGTCCTTAATCGAAAAAAGACAAAAAAGGAAATATCACATTTTATCGTTAAGCTACAAGAATGTGAAGATTTCGTTTCTCTCTACATTATCAATGCCCTATGAAGCGGACAGGTGACAAGAACGTAGAAAACAATCAGCCAGGGATTATCACTATTGGCATTCAGTTGAGAGGCACAACGGTGAACAACGTTGTAATGAAACATACTCGTATAAATGAAATTACTCCATGTAAGCATCTTAAAGATAGCAAATTATACAAAAATATATATCTTGAAGGAAAACAAGAGAATTGTCTGGAGAAACTGTTTCCGCTTACCAGAATTTTCATTTCACGATCTTTTCGTTCAAGCTGAAGAAGTAAAGCACAGAAAAAAGAAGACATGAACGACTTGTAAGCAATAAAGGTCTAAAGACATTATGGCGGGTTTACAGACACACAACAAAGCGAAAACGCTAAAGTGATAACTGTTTATCCTTTACTCAGAATTTTTCAGACAAGGTTATGTTAGAATGAGAGGGTCAAAGCTGTACTTACCAAAGATTGCGTCTCAAGCTCAGTTGCGTCAGTCTGTAAAAAAAGTAAAAGAATTTAGGAGATAAAGTACTACTACATGTACATTTTTCAAATAGCACATTTTATGAAGCATAGCATAGTATGGCAATATTTTCTTGGACAATTCTGTCCAAGGGGGAAAGGTGCAACGAGGTTAACTCTATACGAAGCACCAACCCGTAAGACAAGTCCAGACCACAATACCGACAGCTACGTGCCCTACACTTTGCGATAAGTGCGTGCATTCTTTAACGTCTCCTGCTAACCATGTAACACTGAAGATGTAGGAGATGAGGCCTACGATTTATGGTCCTTATCCGAGAAGACTTGAATATCCAACCGTTTGCAGATGGAATTACAAAGGCAGCACATTCTCCTCAGTTATTTTAAGACCCTTAGTGTTGGTCCAATCTGGAGCTCGAACCCTCGACCTCCCGCACAGCAGACTGGCGCTCTACCAACTGAACTGACCAGGCGGCGGTTCAAATTCATTTGCACAATGGTGCATCAATAAAAAGTAAGGTAAAAGAAATGTACGTGTTTCACATCCATGAATGTATTAAACGTATTATGTAAATAATCATCCCAGGCCCCTATCAACAACACTGGTAAGTGGTAATGATGAAGTCCAGTTTCAAAAGATAAAACCTTACCTTCATAGTGCGAATGAGATTTTCTTTACTCTGCAAAACAATAATTACACACCATTAATTACATTAATAGGAAAAGCATTGCACAAAAACACAGATTGAATATTGTTCAGTAGCATTTTCTGTTAGAAAGAAGCCTATCAAATAAATACTTGATCCCCATATATACTTTGTTATATTACAGAGAAAGGCATTGCCAGTAGCTATTTGGACAAAACTTGCAAACCGGAGAAATGCATTAAAATATAAATTGTATAAAGGCCAATTCACTCTATGAGATGCGCCTGCAGGAAATCATGGTAGCTGTAGTCATCATCTTAGACTGGATATTTGTTTTGACGAGCAATCACATCTCACTAAAGAACTAAATTATAGTAATTCGTCATAGAATGCTGAGGGAAATGTATGATTACTTTGTCGCTCAATCACTGGGTGACCGGTTGCTCGATGTCTATTGTACAAATGGGACATTCAGGATATTTCTTGCACACTGACTATTTTACTTCGCGGTTTTTCTGGCGAAAAACCGGGTGATACGTGTCGATATTCCACAAAACCCAAACCAAAACCATTGCTAGCATCTTCATTAGCGCCAAGGAATTCATCTTTATCTTCTAGAGACTGATAGGTATTTAGACCTGACAGAGAGTTCATCGCAAGCGAAGGATCAATGTTAACTTGACCAAATTCATTCCATATGTGTAAAGCATTGCCAGCTTCAAATTCCAACGCAAGTTTGCTGAAAACGTCCGATTCTTTCAAGTTGTCTTGAACGGATATCATTGTCGTTCTGTTATTTGAATTCGAAGTCTCGGGTGCAATCGCTGGATTTGACACTGGTAGAACTAATAGCTTTAGGCTGTAATCGATTTCAACTGGCGAATGTAGTCTGCTTTCGAGCAAGCTTTGCCCGCACAGTTTCATAAGGCTTTCTTTGAATTTCTTTACCTCACTAATACTTCAAATTCGTTTTTCACAGAGGAGCTATCGAACGGTGCTATTCTCTTAACCATGTTTCAACATTGCAAAGATGAAAATTCCTTCGTTTTCAGTAACTTTAAAGCAAACGCCAAGCTTTTTTTAAAATCGATGTTCTTAAACCGAATCTTGTTGCAAACTGACGGTTTCTTCGACATCTAACTCAACACAGCTTAGCACTTTGGCTGGCAAGGATACTGCAGTTCATTAGTTTCCTTTCACTCGTTTTTTCGCTTTATTCTGTTAGGTCCTATCAACTATTCACTGTTGAAGCACATACATTATTGATAAGAATCAATTTAAAATGGTATCCAACTAAATTTGGAATGATTGTAAACTTTGAGGGAGAATTCAGATCAATATATACTAGGCGAGCCAACAACCGCAACCTACGGCCCACGGCTTTGTAATCACCATCAAGTAAATTAAGATCCGCTCAAAACGGGGAAACTAATTCGCCGAATACGCTCACTAACTCCAAAAAATTGGCATATTTGTAATTCTATTTTTTAGAGGTGTTTCAAGGACCTGTCCGGTATAATGACCAGTTTCCACTTTGCCCACACAAAGAAATTGCCGCCTTTGGAAAATCCCCTAGGGTACACGAAGAGACTTTTAATTTAAGTTTCATCTCGAACCCACTGATCTGACTCTTCTTTGCTTTCGCCTTTGCTAAACTCTGTATTGTTTAAACATACTCGTGTACTCGAATCTAACCAATCAGAACAATCACATTTTTTTTTCTCAGCCAATCAGGTGCAACTGTGCAACTGTGAATTGGGTTCTCAACTCCTGAACAAGTTTTCCCGCACACAACACCAGTTGCAAGCATTACTGAATGCGAATTCATAGTGGCATTGGGTCCATGCAATGGCCAATTCCCTCTACTAGACACGCCTGCAGGGAATCGATATATTAAAATTCAGCCTAACACAATAGACCTCAGCACGAGGCTCTGGGGAATAAACCCCACAAACTCTGTAGTTATTCCCCAGAGCCTCGTACTGAGGTCTATTGTTTTAGGCTGGATTTTAATATATCGAAATAAGTCTATTGGCCATTCCTGAGATGTGACTACCTTCTTTTCGCTGAATATAAGTTCTCTTGAACTCTTACCTTCAGTTGCCTTTCAAGGAAACCAATCTTTTCGTTCAGTGCATCTATTTCTCCGCGGTTAATCGACGTGGCCCGGTTGAGAACAATCCCTCGCGGCGGAATGACTCCGTCCTCTTCATCACGTGACCACTGTGACGTCATCGGGGCTGACACGTTTGAATCCACATACGAGACCATTGGTTGGCTCAGTGGTCCTGGCTGACGTTTCTGCAATAGTATCTTTTTGGGTTTGGGAGGCACTTGAGGAGGAACCTTGGCTGTTGAATCAGCAGGCTTAGTGGATCCAAAACCAGTGGGGCTTATGACGGACGAAGGTGTGGGCTCCTCATTCGGATAGATTCCACCTAGCTCGCTCGGCTCCGATTCCATCACCAACGTGGGTTCCTCCACCGTGATAGGCGATTCTACACGAGAGGTAGGCAGCGACGGTCCAGAAGAGGGTTTGCTGTCCGAGCGAAAGCGCTGGCGAGATGACGCCCGTAGGGTGGCAGCATCTCTGGGTGGTGAAGACTCACCCCTTAACAAAACTTCGAGACTTTGGTCTAGGAGGGCTGGCGAGGAGTCTGGGAAATCTGGTGGTGGCTCAGATGGGAGGGGTGGTGGTGAAGATTCAGGGAGGGGAGGAAGATCTCCATCGTCGTCATCCGAATCAAAAACTACAAGATCACTCGTGTCCGTTCGAGGTCTGTCTGCGTGATCATGATGGCGAAGATCTTGAATACGTTGGTCGATATCATCCATGTACGAGTCTAAATTCCGTCGCGAGGACATGAGTTCTGGTTCAGAAATTAGCTCATCTGAATCACGAGTATTATCGTGATGAGAAGGCATCCTGTTTTTAACTCCAGAATCACTAACTATCCCTGCATAGTCCATGAGATCATCCTTCCCCTCGAAATCCGAACTTCTAACCGGAATATGAGGAACTCGAGGTGATAGCTCCAACTCCAAACGCCTGTCTCCAAGGTAACGGATTTCCGTAGCAACTGTTGAACGGACTTGAGGTGTAATGGTCTCCTCGACGGAGCATGAGACTGGGCTGATGACGTCACGAGAGAAAGATGTTAGGTCTTGAGGGAACTGAGCATGCTCGGTCTGAGTTGCCTCGTTTAACCGCTGAGCGATCTCTCTTCCCTGTGATTGGAGTGAATCAAATTAAACAGATTTAATCATTTCACCTCCTAGATGAGCAGAGAAATACTACTTACAGCTTGAAATACATTTGAAATTTTCCCATTAGGAGAAATTGGTGTCGTATAACGACTTCTCTCTGCTAACACGAGTTCGTGTTATCCGACAGATCTACGACAACGGCACCTTAAGAGACGATTTTTAACAACATGTTGCAGCAACCAATTTTTGCGTTTAAAGTTGCCCCGTGTGCCATGTTACACGATATCGATTTTTAACGTAGCCAATATCAGGGGCTTAGTTAGTTAAACAATGTTGCGTTAAGAATCGGCATTAAAAATCGGCTAGTGTATGACATCAATTATTAAACACAATACTAATACGACAACAGAAAAATATATTGCACATGAAGGTGTCGAGTAAATTGCAAGTGCAACAACCCATCTTTGACACTTGTTTTCCTCTGAAAAATTGCGGACGAGTCCACGTTTTCAAAACCACATAAAAAATCAGACAGGAAAACCAGACAGGAGTCATGGCGAGTTGAAGCGTGTAAAACGCATCTTTCAACTTGCCTAGTAGCACATTTTAACGCTGTAAAATTTCGCTCGCAGATGGCAATTATAAAGGAAAATATTTATTTATGTTACACGGTATGACAAACTGGGAAGCATCCACAAAAAAAAAAATTGAGAAACACAGTCAGATTAAGATTTAGCTTCAACGAAGCAAACCTGTTTTAGTTTTAGCTTCCTTTTTCGAAATATAATTCCCATCGAAACCTCTCTAAGCTTTACAAACATCTGAAATCGTAGCCTTTCCTCTGCGAAATCTATACCATGACGTTAACAAGATCTGCTAAAACCAGAGAAAAATTCAACTAAGTTAACCTTTATTGTATTTTGCACACCCTTTGGTGTAAAAGGTCAAACATTTTACGTAAGAAACAGTTTGTTTTACAATGCTTGACTGCGCCGACGACTACCAAAACTTATATAGCGTGAAATAAACATACGGCCTTTTATTTTAAAAGTACAAAGTGAACTCAATAAGAAAAGAAAGAGAAAGAGATACATGTTTTGCACAGTGACCGCACCGCGGCGAGCGGACTTTTCCTGACTTGGAATATGAAGCAAGCACATGATCTCGATGTGTTTGCGGAATATTCGACCAGCGTTATTTTTTTAAATTTCCTTATTTTAACATATTCGTTCAGGAAACCACCAATATAAAGCAAATGAGATGTTTGTCGAAGATCGCTTACTTAATGGATTAAAACACACATCAATAGTTTTGGTGATGTTGCAGATAACATAACAGAAATAACTTGACTTCTTCTTCTTCTGAAGATTCAGCAAGGCACATGACTAACTGTAGTTTTCAACACATTTTATGGTCATTAAATGACTAATGTAAGAAATATTTTGCGCATGTAACATAAGAGATAGACCACTATTTTAGGCCTTAAACTCGAAGCACCAAAGCTCTGAACAAGTAGAAAGTATCTAAGTGGCTCCCTAATGGAATACAACGTATTCCAGAAGACAAGCAAAATCAAACCAAATTTTGTTTCGCTCCCGTGTTCAGATATACCTTTGAACAGTGTTTACCAGCGATAAGCGGAACTTAAACTTCGCTACATCGAAGCTACTGAACGTTAAAGGATCTTATCGCTGGTACTTAAGAAAGGCTTTAAAATACGAATGAAGACCTGTCAGCCATTAGATAACTTTACATGTCAGAAAACTAAAGAGACGCTTCACGTTACATTCAAACGTAAATAGGTCGCAAGAGTAGTATTTAGCAAGCTGAAGAAGTGTTAATGGCTTGACTTTGCGATGCCACGAACTCTAAGCCATAAATAATACAATTTCGAGGCAACGAAAGGACAAAGACTAAAAGTACAAAGAATTACGAACCTTGTATTTCCCGTCAGAGGTAGATTTTGAGAGCAAAAATGTGGAAGTGTTTGGTCGCTAGCATCACTAGCTTGGTAGTCGACTCATTAGCATAATCAATCAAGAGCTAATTTATGCGTGATCAAAATTTCTTCAATGTTTTCTGAGAAACAGTCAACAAAGCACATTTCAATCACGCTGAGGGCTATTATACACGTTTTCAAATAACAAAAGAAGATAATTTTCCGCGCTGATGTACGTTCTTTGATATTCAGAACACAATAAATGAGACGACTTCAGTCAACACGAAACTGTATGTTGAATTAAATGAAACTACTTCACGATACAAAAGAAATAACGCACTGATTATCGAAATAGTGATTTACATACGACAAATATGAGGAAACAGCTGAAACTGGACAACATTTTAAAGGAGGGACAATTCGTTAACCACATCACTTCCCAGAACAAACATTACTTGCATTAGACCGTTAGACTTAGAGAGCCCAATAGACAGCACACATAATACCTTTGAACGCACCAACTGACAAAAAAACATAACCCTTTCAGAAAAACTCGACAATGTGTCAGCTATTTTTGTAACTTAATACTTAGGCTAAATAAAGCAAGATGTGTATGACTAGATGCGAGAGCAAATATTCTAAGAGCTAAAAGAGTACTAAGGAACCATTTTCGCTACATGCACCATCACAAATGCTAAATGACCTAAAACACAGAGGGGGTTGCAACTTGAAAAATTCAACCTGAATGTTTCAAGTTCTTGAATCGCAATTCTTCCATCTGTTAACCTACACTAGTAAAGTATTACTTTCGTGTCTTCGAAATGAAAGTCATTTCTCAAAGTGGTGCAAATGACATTAAATGGCGTGATGCATGCTGCGAAATAGTTTACAGTTTTCGATCTTGTTGTGTGAGGGATTCTTACCTGAATTTGTCTTCTTAACTCCATGAGTTCTTCGTAAAGTTCCTTGTTTTCTTGCTTAAGCTTTTCGAGTTCCTGAAAATAACAATAACCGGGAAAATTTAATTTAATCCAATCAAAACATTCTATATTTACATTGTTACAAATAATGTATCAGTGTTTTCAGCAAACCAATCGTTACTACATGTAAGACACAGGAAAAATCACTCTCCCTCAGTTAAGTTATTTTCCTTGCTTGCGACACGTTGCATGTTAATTATTATCATTTTAAGTTTATGTGATGTAGTTTAATTTTACAAAGTTTAGTTTAAGGAGTTTATAAGAGATTCGGATATCCACACAGGGCCATATTGGCAGGAGAAAATCTTGAGTTACTTTGGCAATGTGCTCTGGTATAGATCCGTCCCCAATCAGCTCCAAAGCTGTGACAGAATCCAAATTGGTTTGAATCTCCTGACTGACTCCGCCAGAAATGTTTGGCAGACGGCGTATCGGATCGGCCATAGACGGGGGGACATCACCAGCCTCTGCGTGTACTCCCCTGTCAGCCTTTTAAAGAAGGTATTTTTGTTGTTAGGATTTATTGCTAAGCAGTCGAGAAGTAAAGCTCTTCAAGTTAGGTATTGAATTTAGCGCTATTTCAACTTAAATGAGAAATAACAATGTCCGGAAATCTCTGTAACTGAATTTCTTAAGGTTGACTATTAGATTTTTATAATTCCTTCAGTATTTAGACCTGTTTTCTTTTGAGTCTCGAAAAGTACTTGGTTTGCATCAACTACGCTACACGATTGGCTTAAAAAACTCACGCCACTTTTTCATCCAATCAGAAGCAAAACCAAAACCAATCGCAACTCACTCGCACTCGTTTTCCCGCGCTTTGCATCAGTTACGTGTAATTACTTCGAGCTTTGATTGGTTCATTGTATTGCCTGTGTCCTTTGTGGTTGGCTAGAGTGATAACATTGGTTTCGGTTTTACGACACTCAATTGAAAACCGCCGAAAACCGCCCTATAAATTGTTTTCATTTATGCTTAGACCAGGTTAAATTCATCTGTTAACTTTTACTTTTAAGTGATTCTTGAATACCACTGTGTCGCGACTTCTTAACATTACCTGTTCAAAATAATGACCCAGATTGCTCAACTCAGCTCGAGGCGTAGCCATGCCTGATGACGACACAAGACTCTCAAGGTCACATGACCCCAGCACACTTTCGACTTCTGATGCTGTTAGACCAAAGTCCTGCACTAACAGCAACCGAACCTGCACACAGTTATTAGTCCTTGGTTTAAGGTTTTGTCTATTGTTTTTGTTTTATACACTATACGCTAAGGTTATTTATTTGTTATAGCTTATCTGTTTATCTTTTGTTATAAAATCGAAGATGTTATCGGGTTTAGTGTGGTAAAATGGCCATTCTGTTTAAACATCGACAGAAAACAGATGGCAATTACATCGCAGCTAGAAAACCAGCATCACGCTTATGTAACTAAAAGATCTCATTGTCAAGTTTATGTTGAAGGCGTCAGTAAGACAAGCTTAGTTTATTTTGAACAATTACAGATCTATTGGTTGATTTATTTGCATGCGCGTGGGTGCTGTCAATACTCTTCACGAATCCTACAAAAGCAGCCACATCCAGAACTATTCTAAGTTTATGCCCACTTTCTATAGCGTCACGGGGCAGGAATCTCTCTATATGGGAAGCTGTACAGAAAGGTCATCTTTTAAATTTTGTTTACATAGCACTGAGTCGAACCCACCTTTCCAAGTTGTTCAGTGGTATCCATCTCTGATGAATTGTCTCTCGAGTTTTCCTAATATGCAAAGATGGACAAGAGTAACAAACAAACAGATCTTCACAATCACTAAGAGTACTCATTACACAGAAAACAATCTTGACGACAGCATCACTACAAGGGTACTCGCCCCCCCCCCC